GTTACATACACCCTGCATGATTCGTCAATTTGACAGAAGGGTTTTCACATACGTCAAATCAGATACACCGGTTTTTGCTTTGCAGTGAAGATACGTCGGCAGCTCGAAAAACATTGAGGAATTGTCGGATGGTTGGTTTATTTACATAACTAGCCAGAGTTGTGAATTAATTGATGTTAAAAGCGGAGATGAGAGGGTCATCGCATTATCTGCTGTCAGATTTGTGTTTTTCGTATAAGGAAAGCCCTGGTCAGAATGGTATGTGAAGTTCAATAATAAAGTCAAGATTAAGGTGCAATTTTATTAGAATACTTTTGAAATAATAAACATGTTGCTCCTGGAAATACAAAAACAAACATATCACAGCGTTTTTTGCAGGATTCAAACATAGACTTCATCGTAACCGGATGTAAAGCGGCTCGGATATCATCAACCGATTGTCGTAAAGCGTTGTTATTATTCTGACGATTTCAATTTCAAACCTTGTTTTTCATCAACTCGTAGGAAAAGCATGTATTTTATATTCGTTTAGATGCAAAATATCGCTTTGTTTATTTTTTGCGACTTACGTCCTTTTGAAAAGTTATGCTTGAATTATCCTGACGTTCAATTAAAATGCGGTAGATTATTACAGCGAGGGGTTGAACGATGATTACAAAAAGTTCTCTTTTCCCATAGTAATTCCCATGGAAACTTCAAAAAGGCCAGTGCAGTATGAGTTCGCAACCAAATGAGCGCAAATTTTAGGAGAATTATCAGGACCAGATTTGAAAACGATAGAGCTGGGTGAAGCAAAGTTATGATGATTCCACTTTTGAAATAATAATTTTAATGTCACAATGGCGGTTGATTTTCAAAATTGTTGTTTCAAGATGGTGAATAATTTTCAAGATGATGGATTCAAAATGGCCGGTCTTTTATAAAACGGTCGACCTATGCGATCGATTCAACCTCCGGTAGTGAGTAGTAATTTTTGCCGTGAGACATAGGAAGCGGAACACTCTTTCACTTCTCCTGATAAATTGATTCATCTGAGGTGCTCCAAAACTAGATCTACATCGTTTCTGCAAGGTTCCTGCTGGTGTTCAGGAATATGTTTAATGACAAAAAGGAAAATTAGAATAGTGCCTTAGCGGTTATGATTTCCCGGATTTCTTGTGTGTGAATAGTTGTGAAATCAGTTCAGATCTTTAGAAAATCACAACATCAACATTCAATTGCCGATGGAAATTGGCAAGATGTTTAATGCAAAATTCTTTATTTTGCACTGTAAAAAATCCTTATTCTGATGTAAACAAACAGTTTGGTTGACGTTTCCTCTCGAACTCGCCTGGCGCCCTCTACATAGGTGGTGCATTAGTAATTTAATTTCCAAGTTGGTAAATTATTTACAAACTGGATTATACAAGATGGCAGTAGATTTCCAAAGTGGTGGATTCAAAATGGCCAGTCTTTTATTAAATTTTATATCAATGAAATGTTATTGCAATTGCAATTAAAATTTCAATTCCAAGATGGTAGTTAATCTTCAAAATGGTAGAATCAAAATGCTGAATGATTTTCAAAATTGAGAATTCAAGATGGTGGGTGTTTGATAAATTGGTCAATGCAATTTTGTTGTATAGTGATGATAATCTGCTATTGCAATGAAAATTTCAATGATTTTTCGTATAAACAAATAATTTAACAAATTAATAAATTGTTTAAAAAAAAGGTTTTAAGATAAAGCACAGGACGATTTTGACTAGGACTTAATTTTGCTTTTCCCGTTCAACATTATGTAATTTTTGAAACAGGGGAGGGGGTGACATAAAATTTTACAACAGTCTTAAAATTAGTTGTTTTTCCACTAATTTATTTTCGGACCTGAGATCTATCGAGATTCCAAGGGGCAATAAACTCTGCACACTGTGCCGAAACACAGCATGGCACACTGTTCGACACGTTAGGGCACACGTTGAATTGAAGAATACAAACAATATAATATAAAATGGCATCACTGTCAAGCGTCGACATTTTGCCAATCGTTGCTAAGAATGAATACTTTGTTTTGTCCAATTTTATGCCCAATAAGTAAATAGATTGGTACATAAAGTTAAAAAACAAACCGATAGACATTGAACATCAGTTTATGCACGTTTGCAGTACATATCTCTGTAGTTACGAATCGGAACGGTGACTAAATTGTGCCGGCTGCAGAAGAAATGACGAAGAATTCCGTTTTCAACGGTAGTCGAGCAGACTTCCGGAAAAAGTGACTGTATGTAAGTAGATTAGATTCCTTCTTCCAAACAGCCCTTGAAAATATTGCTCTTCATTGCAGCTGATTTGTTACAAGTGGAGATGTTTCTGACACCGGTGCCCAGAACGTACAACAAAGCCTTAACCGAAACGGGAACGTCCGGAAAATTATCCTGCGTCATGCGATGGTCAAATTTACATTTTGAACGAAGGTGCCCTATCCTTCGAGGATATTCTATGAAAGTCTAGCTAAATTTACAAGTTTGTTATGTAGCATAACTGATGAATGTACATCAGCCTAACGTACTTCAACTTTATATCCCAGCATCGAATAATGAATAAAGATAAAACGATTACCATAGGGGTTTTTGGCCAGGTTCGAATATCGGTTTAGCCGAGGATCTTCCTGTATGGAATTTTTCTCCTTTTCCCTTGCGTGTTTCCTCAGCTATTATTGCTTGTTATTCAGGCCTATTCCTAGAATCGTGTGACTCTCTGTTACTAGTGAGGTAACTCTCCATTTGATTTGCGCGGAGGTCCCCCCCCCCCCCTAGTTCAACTTGTTCATTGCAAGAGGCCCCGGTGCGATGGGTGGCCGATCGGTCATTTCATGGGTTCTATTTACCAAGAGCCTATGGGCGTGCAGATGAGCCAACTACACTGTGCAACACATATTTCAACATTTCAATCCGGCAGGGATGGCTCTAGGTTCGCACTAGGTACGCGTCGATTACATGACCATCGTTCATCTTCCCGTCCATTCAAGTTCGTTGTTTGCTTTAGTTATAGAGGATTTCAAAGTATGCCGGTGGCATTTTCTTCCTCCATCGATTTCGTCCCTGAACACCTGAAAGTAATCAGTAATTCAAATAGACTTCGAGCCAGAATCTTGTGGATCGGTCGAGATTGCTTGAAAACCGTATACGTTTGATAACTTCCATCAGTTTCTCTTTCACCTCCTGCTCCGAAACTGAAAATTTAAACACAATCGCAAATGTCATTATAACTTCAGGGTTGCCAAACTCATGGGATATTGGCACACTTCGGCCTACTTCGACACTTTGGGCAAAGAGCATGGCACAGATTAAGGTGTGAATACCCCTTGTAAGATTCCTTAATATCGGTTTTGGCCAACCTAAATTGAGAGCGACAGATGAACCTACGATCGGCGATCTACAAACTCCCTTAATGTTCGACAGTGTGTTGAAGCCAGTGGTATGGGAGATTACGATCTCAACCATACTGATAACAGAATCAGTGATTGGATGCATTACCTGCGACGAATGATGAAAGCAAATGAAATATTTCCCCGATGAGGGTAGTAGGGGGGGGGGGGGGTGCTACTACACAGCAAAAAATAAATTTGGATATCACATCAAAGTGGATGCAATCGTGTCAAAAATATGGTGTAATATTACTTGCCAGAAAGGACAAAATCTAGGACAAAATTATCATTAATACAGTGCATGAACTGACATTACGCTGCTTTTACTGCATTTGTTTATTTTAGCGGCCATAAAAATTACATGAGATTTTCGACATGAAGTGCATCCTCTTGGATGTAATATTAAAATTTATTTTTTGCTTGTGAAAAAAAAACATTGTGAAAAAATAAATCATGCATCTCAATTTTAGAGGGATTAATAACAAAATTCATATCTTCAAGTGACGACGTATATCTTGTCTATCACTTTAAATCCACGTTTTCTTAGCAGCGTGTAAAAAGACTTTTAAACCCACTGGGACGAGAAGGTAGGATCCGTTTTACAAGAGAACTTGAACTGAAGATTCTTCAGACACCCAACCAGCACCGGGTTAATCTTATCCACTTTCAAGTAGTTCATTTCCCAGCCCCCGCCCGGTATCAGTTTTCCGCCCATTCCATGTACATAGTAACTATAACGACGACTGTTTGCTTGTAGTTTGTCTTGATGTCGGCTTTCTGTTCTGCACACTCAAAGCTTCCTACGTCGAACTTTTGTTTGCACGATACTCGCATGAGTGTCCCGTATTCCTTTTCCCTTCTTTTGGTTTGAAAATGTTCCATGCATAATGCTTATCTTCTTCTTGCCACTGCTAAAACATCTTGTACAAATTTATCCCACCCAACATAGTTTGAATTCATTTTGATCGCATTTCCCGGTTCATTTCATCTGCTCGTAGATTGTAGTTTTTTTTCGTTTGCCAACATCAGCTGGAGCTACACATTGCTGGCTGAAATTGTTTCCGCCATTCGTTTCAAACTGAAAGCTTTGCAAACAAGCAGAAGCTGAATTTGTGCCTTTTTTTCGGTCGACGTCGTCGTTCGTAGTTTTTGGGAAAATTGTTTTCTTTACTCGTTATCTTGACTATGTATATCTTGATGTTCATGTACAGCTTCTACTCGCTCACGTTCCTACAGTCTATGATTTTTGGCGTTTGTTGGTTCGTTCGTTCGTTTATTGAATCAAGTAAAAAGTATTCGTAGGTTGAGTAAAACGAAGAATGAAGCCGTAAGCAGCGTAAAAAAACGACTGCAGTTGAGTATCATATTCGGATAATGGTAATTGTTGGATAATCTCTTGGAGTGTTTGTTTTAATGAGCGACTTACTATTGCTGAAGTTTATTTTATCACTCGTTCCTTGTTACTTTCTTTGTCGTTTTTCTGTTTTTTTTTATTCAAATGAAGAAAGGGAAATGGATGTGAAATGTGAGATTAAACTAATCCTTGTGAATGTGTTTCTTTTTTGTTCTTTCGCACTGCCGGATGGATTTACAGGGAGCAGCCCGACTGACGAAGGATGACATCGAGAAGGTGTTTTCGCTATACGATAGGGTGAGTAACTGAAATTAAATCTCCCAATTACATTCAATAACAAACAATTATGCATAGTTTCATGCAAATCGGATCATATCGAATTTTTCCGATTCGTAATTTGGCGTGGAACCACCGACAAACCGACATGACACTTAATCCTGACTTATGTCCGAAAATCGTAAACGGCCGATTTAAATGTGCAGTGATCCTGACATAGGATTTTGGATAGGACATTGATCTAGATAAAAATAATTTGTCCAGAATAGATCAGACACGAACCAATTCATAACTTTTGCATACGGGTTCATGGCTTAGCTAAATGTTTCCCACGAATACAAAGCCAGATGTCAGTGGTGTGTTCTTTAATTTTGAAAAAAATATCAGTTTTTACCATCTGAAAGAGCTTTGTTTTCTGAGCCCAACGAGGTTTTGATCATGGTATTCTTCTTCGGCAAATGTCTCGTCTGGGAGTTTCAGACGGTTTGGTAGATTGGCTAAAATCGTACCTTTCCAACTCTTAGACACTAAGCTTCCGTTTGACTTACTTCGTTCAGTGGTAGTCACTACGGCAAATCGTCAACTTGGGTTCATATCAAGGATCTCAAGAGATTTTTCGGATCCGTACTACTTAAAGGCACTGTTCTGTTCACTTGTGCACGCGATTCTTGAGACTTCATCTGTTGGATTCCTTGCCAACTTTCCTGGAGCATTAGAATAGAACGTATTCAGAAAACATTCACGTCGAGCATTCGAGGCCTGTTTGAGGCCATAAAGCGTCTTCTTCAAACGGCATACTAATCCTTCTCCTACTTTGTAGCCTTCCGGTTGCGATATATAGATTTCCTCTGCAAGATCTCCATTGAGCAAAGCGGATCGAACATCCATTTGATGGATATGCATCCGTTCTTTGTTCGCCACAGCTAACAAGGCTCTCAGTATGTCTACTCTAGCAACCGGGGAATAAGTTTCAGTGTAGTCGTAACCGAGACGTTGGCTTAAACCACGTACAACCAGACGCGCCTTATACTTGTCTGGCTCATCTCCATTCCCGGGTTTAATCCTAAACACCCATTTGCAAGACACCTCGTTCTGCCCATCGGGAAGTTTCATTAGATCCCATGTGCTGTTTCGCTTCAGAACATCCAGCTCCGCCTGGATGGCCACCTGTCATCTTGGCCAGTCATCCCTCTTCTTCAGCTCTGCTACGGTACTCGGCAAGTTGTCGACGTACTCCATTGCTCCAAAAGCGAATCGCACGAACGTCATGTCATAATCCTGCTGCCATACAGGAGACTTCCTGTTCCGGGTTCCAGTTGTTGGTTCACCACTTGCATCACCACTGGGTTCAATCCGAGTTGCTTCATCGCTTTCCTCTTCGCGCGTGGTGTCATAACAGCTATCGAAACCCTCTTCTTCGGAGCCATCTTCATGATCCGACTCGCTATGATCGCCACCTTCGCTCTGCAGCTCCTCCTTGGAACTCTCATTCGTAATCGATTCGCTCGATACACGAATCATCGTTGGTATCGATTTCTCCTTCTCGATCGACTCCGCTTTGGCATTCTCGTCAATGATAACATCGCAAACTGTGACATTCCGTCGTTGTTTGGCATTCCATACACGATACCCGTTTGCACCGTAGCCCACGAAAATTTCCTTCCAGCTTCCTACGGGTTTCCTTCGGAATGTGACAATAAGCCGGAGGGCCGAAAACTTTCAATTTCGAAACGTCCGGTCGCTTACCATTCCACATCTCCGCTGGTGTCACCTTCTGCCCAATCGCACAAGCAGGGCTCCTGTTCGCTAGAAACGCCGCCGTTTCAATCGCTTCTCCCCAGAACGTCTTGCTTATGCCGGAGTCGAACAGCATCGAACGGGCCTTCTCCACGAGCGTTCGATTCATCCGTTCGCTCACTCCGTGTTGTTCGGGGGAGTAAGAAACTGCGAACTCCATTTTGATTCCCTGCTACTGGCAGAACGAACGCATCTGTTTGCCAACATACTCCCCACCGTTGTCCGAACGCAGGCGGGAAATCTTAGAGCCAAGCTTGGCCGTTGCTTGCGCCTCGTAGTCCTTAAAGTAGCTAGCAACCTCGTCCTTTGACTTGATCAAATACACCACCGTGAACCTCGACCAATCGTCAATGAAAGTGACGAAGTATTTCTCCCCACTCTAACTTGCCGGTGTCACCGGTCCGCAAACGTCGGAGTGCACCAGCTCCAACACTCGACTCGATCGCCAGTCCTGCCGCAACGCAAAAGGATTTCGCGTCTGCTTCGCCGCTACCCATGGTTCACAGATCGCCAGATGTTTCTCATCCTGCACCGCTTCCATCCGTCGACTATCTCCCCATTCAGCAGGTGGCCGAAACGCCGATGCCAGAGTTCATTCGCCTTATTTATTTGACCAGAAAATAATAGGGAATCTCACACACATAGTTGAGCTTATATAACTTATCTCGCCGAGTTCCAGTGGCCACCATCACCGAGTCTCGTAGAATCTCGACATGACCGCCTTCAAACACCACCTGCATTCCAGCAGATTCCACCTTGCTGATGGGGAACAGGTTGGCCCTTGCCTCGGGGATGTACACTACATCTGGACACTTTCGCTTCGCCTTGATGGATTTATCTTCTAGCACTGAAATTACTGTTATATATTCACCACTTTTGGCAACAGTAAAGTCCACCCACCAAGGTGGTCATTCTTAAAACAGGCCTGATAGGACTAGGAACTGTAATTAATAATAATTGAAATTTCAAAAAAACTAAAGTTGAAAAGACGCATCTGTGTCACTTGATAAGTAATAAATGTAAACCACACAAATACAAGAAATAAAGATCATTTAAAGTCAAAAAGTCACAGCAATGTCCATTGGCTGCGCCATCGGAACCAGTTTGTCAAACAGTCGTTTATCGTTGCATATATGCTCGGTTGCACCCGAGTTAATGTACCACCGAATTTTGCTTCGTTCGCCTAAATTCGTTTCGCCATCGCTCAAGAAAATCACTCCGTCTTTTCTCTCACTCGTGACGTGCGCAGACGGCTTCACTTCACTCTTGTTCTTCTTCTCAGGGCAGTCCACCAGTTTGTGCCCTTCCTTTTGGCAACCGAAACACTTAAAAAAAAATCTTCTTCTTCTTCACTAGCTTCTTGCCGGCACCATAAAACGCGGCCGACTCAGTTTTCACACTACTAGCATCTGACACTGAACTTCTTCTTTTAATCTCCTCATCGAGGAGCCTACACTTCACAAAATCCATGGTGAGTTGTTCTTCCGGCTGCGACTCGATAGATGTCACCACTGCATCGTATTCCGTCCCCAACGAGAGGAGCAACCGACACACCACATCAATATTGTCCATCAAACCACCGGCATCACGAAAAAATCGAATCAAGCGATCAAACTTTCACAAAGTGTTCTTGCAGGCTGCCGCCACCCGTGTACCGCAACTCGTGTAGCTGCCGGTTCAAATGCAGCCGCTTTGCAACACTCTTCGCTCGAATATTTTTATCAGCGAATCCCACATTTGCTTCGGAGTGCCTCTCCCTGGCAAGTGTTCCAATTGATCATCATGGATCCGGGACACTATCATCGTTTTACACTTTTTATCTTTCTTACGCCTCTCCTTGAGTGCTCTTTCCTTCAGCTGCACGAATGCTGCCGCGTCTTTGGCTTCGACTTTAAAGCCCGGCACATCATCTATTTCGGTCTCGACACATTCCACTAGATCATCACACTACGACCGCAATCCACTATATTCGACCGCTACGCGTCCAGTAAACGATCCTGGGCCCATAACCAAGATTTCGGATCGGAAAAAGACCGGTTCGGTTTTAGAGATTAACAAAAACGCGTGTTTATTGTTCGGACTTGTTGATACAATATGTTATGAAAAGGAAGAGGAAGTAGTATCTGACATTTAAGTTGGCAGCAGTGTTCACGTGCCGAGGGATAAGTCAGTTGTAAAAATTACCAACACTAAACGTAAATTGCACTCTCATTAAAACTATCCACTGCCAGGCGGTTATTGTCCAGCTGAACAGGTTTACTCAAGACTGAATCGTTCGTTTTGTATCTGGTATAGTTAAAGAACTATAACTGGAATTGCTCGCGGTGTATTCAGTACATGAAGCTACAGCGACTGCTGGAAGGTTATCTTCACTAAATGAATGTCACGCACAATTACAGTGTGATGTGATCAATCCCACTGTTTGATGATCATCATTGATGACACCTTCTAAGACTGGCAGTAAGTTGCCTCTTAAACATGTGGCATTATTGTTGGGAATGGATGAGCACCTTGATATATAGCCACCTTGGCATAAGAGAAAACCAATTTGATTACTGGCTACACTGTATTTGATCCTTTTGACGTTTTGTATCATTCCATAATAAATCAGTTACTTTCACACACGCGTTTCTAGTTTTTCTCCCCGAAAGTATCCGCGGTTTCTTTTGTCTGCTCTCTGGTGTTCCCTTTGTTCGTTTCCCGGTGATTCCGTGCGACTCTGTTGGTGCGTCCAGGTCCACAGGTTATGGGCCCAGCTGCCGGAAGTGAACAAGGAAGTATTTGTGCGATTCTTGCCGAGAGCTGGTTTACCGGAAGGCAGTGTTTGGTCTTCCGAGAAAAGTTTTAGTGCGGAGAAAAATCAAAATGGCGGACGGCATGCGAGTGTCGTTTGCGAAGCTGAGTAGCGGAAATTATGTTTCCTGGAAATTCCGGATGAAGTCGTTACTTGAACGTGAAGAGTTGTGGGACGTGATTGGTACAGCGAAACCGGAGGAAGTGGATGAACATTATGCGCAGTGGAAGAAGAACGATGTGAAAGCTCGCGCGACGATTTCGTTGTTTATTGATGACAACCAGCTGCGTTTTATCAAGAAAGCCGAAACCGCGCGTGATATGTGGAATAACCTGAAAACCTATCATGAGAAAGCAACGATAGGCACCCAGGCAATGCTCCTGCAGCAGTTGTGTTCGATTAATCTCGGTGAGGGTGGCGAAGTTGAAAAGCACCTGGAAGAAATCGAAAACTTGTTTGATCGGCTTGACAGTAGCGGTGTTGAGATCAGTGAGCAGTTGCGGGTGATAATGATGCTGCGCAGTTTGCCTCCGTCTTTCTCGAGTTTTGTTACGTCGCTGGAAAATCGGCCACACGAAGATTTAACAATGGACTTAGTGGTGGCTCGATTGCGCGATGAGTGTAACAAGCGGGCGAGCCCAAGAGCGGGTCCCAGTGGAATCAGTGTTAAGGAAGAAAAAGTCCACAAAGCGGATGCTAACGTGGTGAACAGTGACAACGTGAAGTGTTTTTTTGTAAACAACCTGGCCATTACAAGAGAAATTGTCGCAAGTTGGCCGCATTGAAGAACAAGGACAGTTCGGATGAATCGAGCAAGAAGTCGAGTTCCGGTCAGCAGGCTAAAAAGGTGCAAGCGGAAAATGCACAGCAATCGAAACCAGTGGTAGCAGAAGATTCGTTCTGTGGTGCCGTGTGTTTTGTTGCGGGTGGTGCTATTCCGGGAGCATGGACAATCGACAGCGGATGTACTTGTCATATGACAAATGATCGCGGGTTTTTCGTTGAATTCAAGAGCGGTGTTGTTGTTGATGTTACTTTGGCTGACGGTACAAAAACGAAGTCATGCGGTATCGGTAGTGGAAACGTTATCGGTGTGAACGCTAATGGCCAGCGCGTTGTGATTACGTTGGAGCGAGTGCTCTATGTCCCCAATTTGGAGGGAGGACTGGTTTCGGTGCGGAAATTGGCCGAAAAGGGATTCACGGTTGTGTTCAATGTGAATGGTTGTGAAATCCAAGACTCTGACGATAAGGTTGTCGCAGTGGGTGAACTGGTTGGCTGCCAATACAAGCTGAAGATTGGTGAGCAGTGTATGGCTGTGAAAGGTTGTCATACGGATCTGTGCCAACATACGTGGCACCGCCGATTTGGTCACCGCGAAGTGAACGTGGTGAATGTCATCACGTCGAAAGGACTGGCCAGCGGATTCGAGGTCAAGGACTGCGGAGAGCGTATAGTCTGACGCAGCCATTGGATCTGATACACACAGATTTGTGCGGACCAATGGAAAATGCGACACCGGGTGGGAATAAATATTTTATTACCCTGATCGACGACTACAGTCGTTTCTGCGCGGTGTTTCTCCTTACGTCGAAGAGCGAGGCAGAGCACAAGATTCGGGAATACGTTCGGTGGACCGAAAACGTGTTCGGGCGGAAACCTAAGGTGATTAGGTCCGATGGAGGAGGCGAGTATATCGGCGAGGCTTTACAGCAGTTTTACAAAGCCGAGGGCATCGTTTCGCAGTATACCACTCCGTATACACCACAGCAGAATGGTGTAGCGGAATGGAAGAACCGCGCACTGCAGGAGATGGCCAACTGTATGCTGTTGGATGCAGGGCTGCCCAAATGTTATTGGGGTGAGGCCGTGCTTACGGCGAACTTCGTCCAGAATCGGTTGCCATCGCGAGTTGTGGATAAAACGCCTTACGAGCTTTGGACAGGAAAAGTACCGGATTTGGCTGAACTTAAAGTGTTTGGGTGCGAAGCCTATGTGCACGTGCCCGACCAAAAACGAAAGAAATTCGACCCGAAAGCTAAGAAGCTAGTATTTGTCGGCTACTCAAGTCAGCACAAAGGCTATCGCTTTCTTGACCTCACAACGAATCGCATCACTATAAGCCGTGACGCGCGCTTTCTGGAGCTGGGAAATGGCTCAGAACAGCCGGAGGAGGAGCCAGTTCCTTCGGAGATTCCTGTTGAGCAGAGTGGTGATAGTGTGAGTGATTGTGAAGAAGAAGTGATAATCGAGGATCGTGGACGACGTCCAGAAGTGCGTGACGAACAGGAACAGTCTGAGTACGATGATGCTAGTGAAATGAACGATAGTGATTTCCTGGGCTTCGAACCGGAGGTTCCAGAAGAACAACCAGTGTTGAACAGAGCGAATCGGCGCAATCGGGGAGTTTTGCCAGGACGTTACGATGACTTTGTAGTGGGGCAAGTGACTGTAGATGAAGAGCCCGAAGATTATAGAGAAGCAGTACTAGTGCCTGCTTGGAAAAGTGCCATGGACGCGGAAATTGCGGCACACAATGCGAATAAGACATGGGAGTTGGTGCAGCTACCCCATGGGAAGAAAGTGATTGGAGTGAAGTGGGTCTTTAAGCTAAAGCGGTATGAAACGGGGACCATAGTCAAGCATAAGGCCCGTATTGTCGCTAAGGGATATACTCAGCTGTTTGGGATTGATTTCACCGAAGTATACGCTCCGGTTACTCGACAGGCGACGCTACGTGTGCTGCTGGCGGTGGCTAGTAAGGAAGGCTTACTGCTGAAGCAATATGATTTCAAGACAGCGTACCTTAACGGAACCGTTGATGAGGAATTGTATATGTCTCAGCCGCCCGGATTCTGCGCCGAAGGGAAGGAGGAAATGGTTTGCAGATTGCGTAAGAGCATCTATGGCTTGCTTCAGTCGGCCAGATGTTGGAATAAGACATTAAATGCAGTGCTGCTGGACCTGAAGTTCAAGGCTTGTGAATCTGACCCGTGCCTCTACGTTCGCCGTGGTCGGAGTGTCGTCTATCTCGTTGTGTACGTTGACGACCTGATTATTGGCAGTGTTGATGAGAAAGAGATTGATGAGGTATACAGGAATCTTCGTGACAAGTTCGAAGTGACATCCCTTGGTCAGCTTCGTCATTTTCTCGGGTATGAGATCGGAAGAGAAGGTGGTTATTACTCCTTGCGGCTGACGCCGTATATAGAGAGCGTACTCCGGAAGTTCAAGATGGAGAACTCTCATGCGGTGAAGACACCAATGGAGCTCGGATATACAGCAGAGAACGAAGGCAGCAAACCGTTCGAGGACACGACGTTGAACCGGAGCTTGATTGGCGCGCTACTATACCTGGCCGTCAATGCTAGACCAGATTTGTCGCTGAGCGTGGGTCTGTTGGGACGCAAAGTCAGTCAGCCGAACAACAGCGATTGGAATGCGGCAAAGAGGGTGTTACAATACCTAAACGGAACCAAGGATTTTAAGCTAAGCTATGGGTCGCAGGACGGATGGAACCTAGTAGGATATTCAGACTCGGATTGGGCCGGCGATAGGCGTACTCGGCGTTCTACCACCGGTTTCGTATTCTTTTACGGAGGTGGTCCTGTCAGTTGGACCAGCAAGGGCCAGGACTCGGTTGCTCTTTCGTCCTTGGAGGCCGAATATAACGCGTTGTCGTTGGCCTGCCAGGAAGCGATGTGGCTGAGACGATTGTTGGAGGAGCTGAAGGAGCCGGAAAGGAATCCGACAGTTCTGTACGAAGATAACATGGGATGCCTGAGTTTCGCCAAAGCGGAAAGATGCAGTGGCAGAGTAAAGCACATAGATACGAAGAGACATTTTATCCGTGAGTTGTGCGAACAGAAGACCGTAAATTTAGTGTATTGCCCAAGTGAAGAGCTGGCCGCCGACGCTCTTACTAAACCAGTCGGTCCGGCCAAACTGGATATGTTCTTGACGAAGGTAGGACTGAAGAAGTGATTAGGGCGGTACTCATCCAGGAGGAGTGTTGGGAATGGATGAGCACCTTGATATATAGCCACCTTGGCATAAGAGAAAACCAATTTGATTACTGGCTACACTGTATTTGATCCTTTTGACGTTTTGTATCATTCCATAATAAATCAGTTACTTTCACACACGCGTTTCTAGTTTTTCTCCCCGAAAGTATCCGCGGTTTCTTTTGTCTGCTCTCTGGTGTTCCCTTTGTTCGTTTCCCGGTGATTCCGTGCGACTCTGTTGGTGCGTCCAGGTCCACAATTATCAGTAACTGTTTTCTATTGCTTTTGTGTTTGGGCTCCTCCGTCTTAAATACAACAGAGCCGAGTGACTGATAGATATGTAGAATAAAATGACAGATACTAGGTTTTCTGCTCTCAGAAAATCTTTCCTATTTGAAGCTCGATTTGAAGGTGGTCTACTTCATGGCCATAGAAGACCTATTCAAATGATACCTAATGACACTTTTTCCTCTATTACAGGACAATAATGGATCCATCGAAAATGAAGAACTGCGAGGATTCCTGAAAGACTTGCTTGAACTAGTGAAAAAGGTACGTACACTGACTGTCTATATCTAATCATAATATTCTGCTAACTGGAATGTCTTCCCCCTTACCCAGGATTACGACGCGCAGGACCTGATCGAGTTCGAGGAAACCATCCTGCGAGGGGTGGGCTACGACAAGGAGGGTAAAATCTCCCGCAAAGAGTTGACCATGATCCTGCTAGCCCTAGCCAAACAACCCCCAGAGGACGAACAGTAATATGGGGAATGCACTTCTCTCGTTTCGCACCCGCCGCCACAAACGTCATGGTTGTCGTCGTCGTCGTCGCTGCAACGGTCGTCATCATCGAGCCACCGTAGACTGTCCCGAGCTGGTTCCCTTACATCGGCTCTGGCCGTGCACCCGATTGCCAAGTTGCGAACGATGCTTGGCCTAGGTCATCAACATCAACAGCATGGCAATGGCAGTAGTAATGGTAACGGTCCTCATCGGCTATCACAGCAGCAGCAGCAACAACAACAATCACTACCGGAAACGCCGGTGTCGTCGTCGTCACTCCCTAATGTAGTGGAATCACCAGTAGCAGAAACAGCAACCAGTAGTTCAGAACATCACCAGCAACAGCAACAGAAACAACTTCTACCGGTAGTCGTCGTCCATGATCGGGTAAGGGACTTTTACCGTCGGATCATGCGGCGTGGTAGGAACCAGTAGATTACACTTCAATTACACCAGCACCAAGCACGAATCCCAAATTGAAGCCGAAATTAGTTGGAATCGAGCAACAGAAAACCAGATTAATGTAACGAAACTAAATCATCCACACACAAACTTACCAGAAGTGAAGCTGAACGAATGGGGATCCATTGCATCTGGATGAGGGGGTTAAACATTGGCGAATCGATCGAGAAGGAGAAGCAAAACAAACAAACAAACAAAATAACGAATTCAAGTGCGCCTACTTTGACGGCAGGCAAAGTGGGCGACGAGTTTTGAATCATGGCCAGCCATGATGCTGAACAAGTCTTTAGAAGAAGAAGAAGAAGAAAAATCAAAGCACAATTTAATCCGTCTTATGAATATCGTCTTTTAGAGGATGGGCAGTGGCCACTCACCCGAAGGTGGGCAGCTGCCTTATCCGGATTGAGATTTCAAGATTTACGAATTAAGAAGGAAGAAAACCGAAGAAGAGGAAAAGCTACTTCAAATCCCAATTCCGATCAATTTATTCCTTATAAGAAGAGTCCTTACCGTTCCAACCTCCGGATGCTTCTGTATAGCTACTTGTTCCCAATCTATCGCTATCTGTATCTCCAGTTGCTAATATGTTGCTCTGTCTGTCATGGAAGGTTGCAAGCTCTCCTCTGGGTTAATTTTAAGCGAGTATTCAGTCAATTTTAATAACTTATTGTGTGCCCGAGAAATGATTTTGGCAGACATTTGGGATTTTATCAATTTTCCCAGTGGAGCGCCCAACCTTCCCATTTCTTCCGTTGAAACGTTTGGCTGAAAACTGTCTAGATTGAATTCGAGATTGATTGAACTGAATAGCTGGTAGTGGACGTTGTTTTGTAATCACCCCTTAGTGAAATAATTAAAAAAAAACTCAATTACTTTAACACTCGAAATCCAAACTTGGCAATGAGTATGTCCAGCTATTTTTCAGTTTTTAGTTGTTTTCAAAGGTAGTGTGGATTAGTATTACAGTACATTTTTAAAGGAGAACAACTGACCAAAACTCAAATTAAAGAGTAAACCATTCATTTATGCTTATGTTGTCCAAACGGCATTCGACCAAACGTCTTCAACACCTTCTGTAGATAGTTCCCCTTATGAAATTATTTACCATAAAACTTTCAATCTATGTACTAAGAAATAGGATTCATTGTTGAAGGCAAATAAAACGCAAACAAATTTCAATTACAATAAACACATTCTCAGGCCCATCAGCTAGCAAACACACATAAAAATGTAGAGTGAAAACGAATCATGCACCGAAAGCAGCTAGGAAAGAGAAAATTACGAAAATAAAAAAGTTAGAAGAACAACACATATGATAAATAAAAACAAGAAAATTGAAAAATTAACAAATGTTAGATTAGTAAAACAAATCAATAAATTTACGAAACAACCAAGCAACAGAATATATTTATGTGGCCTAAGCTGGAAAAAGATGAAAAAATCCGTTGAGAATTAAAATACCAATGTCCTAAAACAAAAGGTTACAAAGTGAACAATGCGTTTCTGTTAGTTAAATAGTTGAACAAAGGAAGATCGAACGAACAATAAATAGGAAATCTCGCTTATCTAAACTGATAAATGGGATGAGTTAAAGAATACTTTCATGAGAACCCCGTGCCAAACAACACAGAACACAGAATGAATCAATTTTTAAACCCACATAAGCGAACAAACAAAAGAAAATCGAAAACATTTGTTATCCCATAACCAACCCAATTCTCTATACCCATCTTTCCTCTACCCGCAGAGATTATAATATAATTGATGTTAACTCGTGTCTAAGGCAAACAAGAAACCTCTCTCTCTACTTATAACAAGAAAGCTGTTGAAACATTCTCAAATTCTATATCTTATTGAAGAAGAAGAAAAATCTGTAATAACTGTTACTTGTTCTCAAAACCAACCATTACATATTATAACACACTACTATTACTACTACTACTACTACTACTACTACTACTACTACTACTACTGTTGTACCATTGTTACTATCCGCTGTTTCTACTTTTTTCCTAAGATGTACGGTTCAACGAAAGCAAAGCTTAGCTAGGAGTCGGACGGAGATGAAGCAGAGAGTTTTTGTACCTTTCTTCCTTGTTGTAGAGCAGCTCCGACGGGAGACTCAATTTCGCTCTTTAGCACTCTTTCAGCATACTTGTTTACTTTACTAATCTTTCCCATCATCGCAATCTCCTTGAACTTTGAAGTTCCAATCCAACAAATTGTGAGTTAAAACTGAATAGAAAAAGAAAATTTTAAAGTAATCAAAAATCCGGCCATTTAGATGATGAATGCGAGACACATTACAGGCATGTTTGATTTCTAACCTAACACACAACCGTTCCACACACACACACACACATTATCACTTCTACTCAAGGATGCCAATGCTCATTTCGCATGAAAGCATGTTTTTCGAAATCTGTCAAATTGGCTTTGTAAGAGTCACAATCAGCGATTGAGTGAGCGGAAATTGATAAAATCGCTGATTGCGACTCTCAGGAAACGAAATTGGCAAATTACAAAAAATCATATAATCATATGATTACGAAAAGCATTTTTTTTAAACCTGAAACTAGTATTTGCAATCTTGCTTCTATTTTGTATTGTTCTTGATGAAAAAGTTAGTACGAAAAGCATGCAAGTGGAAGGCAAAGTTAATTTGCATTAATAAAATCAGAAATGTTTTGTATTCATTGAACAGTCAATGTATCGCTTGAAAAAAATTTATGTCAATCGACGTATGTGAAATAGATTTAATTTTGTTGAACGATTTCCTAGGAAATTTCGCAACATAATCAAATGTATGTCTCATTATTTACGTTCTCCATTTCAATGTTAAGTACACAGTGAATCATATGTTAATTATTTACAGAATGAAGAAGATTGTTAACTCAAGCAGAATGATGAAATATATATTACGAGATGCATCGCTTATAGTACTTGATATCATCCGAAACATTCCTGTATCATAGCATTGCTGTAAAAATGTTCGTTTAGTATTTTAAGCACAAACATTTATTTGCAATTTCGTGTAAATTTAGGTGTTTTGCGACTGACATATTTATATTGAGCTGGAATTAGGACGTAACAGCATTTGTAAACAATTACTTCTCTTGATGATTTCTGTGAAGATCAGTGCTTTAAAGGGGATAGCTTTTGAGGCAAGACAAGATATCCTCAACAAGTTTAAGGAAAAGGATGTACTAATGTCCACAACAGGTACAGCAAAACATCACATAGACGCCCTTATGCGCACCACAAACGAAGTGACAGACGACTAACTGGCAAAGAAATCAATTAAAATAATGTGGTTCGCAAGCTAATCGGTACTTACCTTACCAATCAGGCTAAGGCTTTGTTGTCCTCTGCTGTCCGAAGAAGTCGTCTCCACTCTACTCGATCCATGGCCACACTTCGCCAGCCTCGTAGTCTGCGAAGGGTCCGCAGGTCGCCTTCTACTTGGTCGATCCACCTTGCCCGCTGCGCGCCTCTTCTTCTTGAACCTGTTGGGTCACTTTCTAGAATCATTGCGGCATTCTTACGACGTGCCCAGCCCACCGTAGTCGCCCAATTTTTGCAATGTGGACGATGGATGGTTCTCCCAAGCAGCTGCTGCAATTCTTGTTCCATTCGCCTCCTCCACGTTCCGTCATCCATCTGCACTCCACCGTAGATGGTACGCAGCACCTTCCGTTCGAAAACACCAAGAGCGCGTTGGTCCTCCACGAGCATAGTCCAGGTCTCGTGGCCGTAGAGGACCACCGGTCTAATCAGCGTCTTGTAGACAGTCAACTTCGTGCGGCGGCGAATTTTATTCTATGGCACGATTCCCTGCCATAATGCGTCTTTGAATCATTTTCGGCGGTCACCAGTGAACCCAAACACACGAACTCATCGACCACCTCGATTTCGTCACCGTCAATCTGAACTCGGGGTGGGAGGCTAACATTGTCTTCCCTAGAACCTCTTCCTTTCATGTATTTTGTCTTTGATGCGTTGATGGCAAGTCCAATCCACCTAGCTTCAGCCTTCAGTCTGATGTACGTTTCCGCCATCGTCTCGAAGCTCCGTGCCAAGATGTTAATGTCATCGGCGAAGCCAATAAGCTGGATGGACTTCCTGAAGATCGTGCCACTCGTGTCTATCCCAGTTCTTCTGATCACACCTTCTAACGCGATGTTGAACAGCAGACACGAAAGTTCACCACCCTGCCGTAACCCTCTTCGAGATACAAAGGGACTCGAGAGTGTCCCCGATACTCGAACAATGCATATTACTCGATCCATCGTCGCCTTGACCAATCGCTTCAGTTTATCCGGGAATCCGTACTCGTGCATAATCTGCCATATCTGATCTCGATCGATTGTGTCGTATGCGGATTTGAAATCGATGAACAAATGATGTGTGGGCACGTTGTACCCGGAAGAACGGACAACCAGCAGGTAGGCGGAACCGGAGTAATAGCGGAGGTTTTCGATAAGCGGAATAAAGACGCGACCGAACTCAAGCGAAATGTGTTTATTTGTGCCTGTGCCCATATAAGTACAGTGTGCAGAAAAAGGAAAAGATAGGACTCAAGGAGCATAGCAACAAAAGTGCTTCAAATTTATTTTCTCCGTAGTTCCCTTTTGTCTCAATCTGATGACAGTTCAGTTGTGGACTGTTTACGTGGACTCAGTTGATTTTTTCTTGGGTAGATTCTATCGATATTTTTTTAGACTGCAGTGTGATGTAAACCACATGTCTGCATTGTCCACGAGCAACATCCTTTCACCGCGCTGTTCCTCGACAATTTGCAAGGTAAAATTCGAAAATTTTAGAATATTTTTTTTTTTTCGAAAAAACTACTAACTGCTTGTAACCTAACTGCCAAAAAGGTTCAGCCACGCACACGTTTCACTGCACTACAGTCGTTAGGTTCGCTGACTTTTCTCCCAAGCAAGCCGACGCTCAAAGACAGATCAGGTCGCGCGTTAACGGCCAAGTATAATAACGCTCCTATGAGGCTTCGGTACAGCGTCGGATCATCGAACCGCTTACTGTCTTCGTTAGCTGACGTCAGGCATGGAAAATCATTTACATTCATTTCATGCATTCATTTACTTCATTTGCCTCTAACTTTTTTTTATCAACAGCATTCTACAAAATGATGTACAGAACTTTTGTAGGTTTTGTTATTAGCTACAACTTTTGCCCATAACTCAAATCTGTATCTCTCATGCATCACTAACTAGAGCGGGCAGAACTTGTCACTGTTTTTCAGTGAATGTAAAATACATTCACTGAAAAACAGTAGTGGCTTCGGTTCGCTCTGGTTCGTCATGCATAAGAGATACTGATTTAAGTTGTTAACAAAAGTTGTAGTTAATAACAAAACCTAACCAAAATTTCTAACATTATTTTGCGGAATTCAGTTGTTGAAAAAAGTTAGGGACAAATGAATGTAAATGAATGCACGAAATGAATGCAAATGATTTTCCATGCCTGGCTGACGTGTACCCAGTATCCATTGGAGTCTTGGTTTGCCGACAGTTCTCCATCTTGTACTTACAAAGCAATGCGTCGATGTACGCCGACAACTTTAACGTGTAGAAACATCCCTCTCTCCCAATCTCATAGCCCAAGAAATGACGCACGGAGCCTAGAGAAGTAACGTCGAATTTCTTGCGGAGACTATCATATACCTTGGCTATATCGGACTCACTAGTAGCATAGAGGTAACTCTAAGACCAGAAGGTCCCGAAGAAACGTGCTCATCTTTTTTGCTCAGCTCTGGAACTCTCTTCGGTCCCAAGCTAATCGATGCACCCCTCGAAACAAAGAAAAATCCACGAACCCCTCACTTCTCAAATTGGAGCTACAGGGTGGAAGCGTACCTGGAAGAATTGGGGTTGGAGCACTGCATCCGGAAGAGCTTGGAAGAAGAAGATTTTTTCGTCGATGCGGCGGTGGACACCGCCGAAGTGAAGGCGCAGAAACACCAATCGCGGGAACGGCGAAAGCAGCAGGACGCGAAGTGCAAGTCCATATTGATCCACAAGATCGCGGATTCGCACCTTGACTTCATAAAAGGAAAAACCACTCCGAAGGAAATTTGGTCCACGCTGGAACGGCTGTTCGAGAAGAAAGGTGTCGCTGGCATATTCTACCTGCTCAAGCAAATGTCAGTGATGCGATACGACGAAAATCGCCCGTTGGAGGAACACATTGTTGCCTTCGAGAAGAATGTTCGAGATTTGGAATCTGCTGGAGTGAAGTTCGACGAAAAGGTGACCGTTTTCAACTTGCTTCAGTCAATGCCGAAATCCTACGGGCAGTTGATTACGGTGCTGGAGACTTTGCCAGTGGAACAATGCTCGTTGGAATTCGTCAAGACGAGGTTGCTGAGCGAAGGTGTGAAACGACAGCTTGGCGAAGTGCAATCTGAATCTGGCACGGCGTTTGCTGGAAAAGGTGGGAAGTTCGTTTTCACGTGCCACGCATGTGGTAAACCCGGACATAAGCGAGCAGATTGTCCTAGTAACAGCCGGAAGCAGGAGCACGGTGCGGGAAAGACGTCGGGGAAGCAGAAAAAAAAATCCAAGGAGAAGGCTAATGCTGCTGATACACAATACGATGATGCGTTCGTGGGCACGGACGACAGAAGTAACACCGATGGCGAAGAATTTCGTTGGGTGCTTGATAGCGGAGCCTCCGAGCACATGGTCAAGGATAAGAAGTTTCTGCACAACGTGTATCGTCTCGACCAACCGGTCGTCATCACAGTAGCGAAGTCTGGACAGCAACTGGTGAGTGAATTTGCCGGTGAAGTGAAAATGCTTGCGAAAGTAGGCAAGAAAAAGCTGCGGTGCGTTGTATACGAGGTCCTTTTAATTCCTAATTTGACCATCAACTTGTTTTCCGTCAAGAAAATTGGGGAACGAGGAATGCGCACCACGTTCACACGGGATGATGCGTACATCACGAAGGCGGATGGTTCGCAGGTTTGTACGGCCACACGAAAGACGAAATTGTTCGAGCTGGATGTCGAACTGATCCATCCACCAACTGAGTCGGCTCTCGCTGCAGATACCAAAAATCGAATGGTTCTGTGGCATCGACGATTCGGCCACATCGGCCACATGGTCTGAGGAAGCTTGTTCGAGACAACATGGTGGACGGCCTGGAAATTGGAAATAACCTGGAAGAAGACGAGAAAATTTGTGAATCATGCATGAAAGGGAAGCAAGTGCGGCTACCATTTGCGGACACACCGCAAGCAAGATCGAGTCGTCCGTTGGAAATGATACACACGGATGTGTGTGGACCATTCAAGCCGGAAGCTTGGGATGGAGGCAAAATGTTCGTGACCTTCATCGACGATTTCACGCACTTCACGGCGGTGTAAAGGCGAAAAGTGACGTTCTGGCAATGTTCAGGAAATATTCGGCGATGGCGGAGGCACACTTCGAGCGCAGGGTGGCGCGCATTGGGTGCGACAACGGTGGCGAGTACGTCAACGAAGAATTCATCAGTTTTTGTGAAGCCAAAGGAATAGTGATGGAGACTACAGCGCCCTATACGCCACAGCAAAACGGCGTTGCGGAGCGCATGAATCGCACCATCATGGAACGATCTCTAGCGATGCTGGACGACTCTGGATTCAAGCGGCATATGTGGAACGAAGCGGTGCAAGCAGCAGTCTACACGATCAACAGAAGCCCAACATCAGCGTTGCAGGAGCCGGTGACCCCCTTTGAAAAATGGAACGGAAGTAAGCCCAATGTTTCGAAAATGCGAGTATTCGGAAGCAAGGCGTTTGTCCACATCCCAAAGGAGAAGAGAAGCAAGCTGGACGATAAGAGTAAGTTGTGCAATTTCGTCGGATACGCTGTAAACGGGTACAGACTGTGGGACTCGGAAAAGCGGAAGGTTTTCATTTCGCGGGATGTAGTAGTTGAAGAGATCCAGCACAAAATGTCACCAGTTTACACGTCGGACCACCTTGTGTCCGATAGGGAAGAATCAAGCACTCAAGTCGCCGAGGAAGAAGAGGATCAAGAAATCAATGACCAGGAAGCTGCATCCGAGGAAGAAACGAGCAGAGAAACCGAATCGGAACCGGATGAAGAAACAGAACCAGCAAGGCGAAGTGGGCGGAACAGGAAGAAACCAAGCAAGTTCTCCGATTATCAGCTGTACGGAGCGTTTGCGCTGAATGCTGAAAGCTACACACAAAATCTACCGGAAACCATAGGCGAACTGAAGCAGCGGGATGACTGGGAGGAGTGGAAGCTGGCGATCGACGATGAAATCAAGTCGTTGCAGAAGAATAACACTTGGAACCTGGTTGACCTTCCTGATGGCTGCCGGGCGGTGCCCTGTAAGTGGGTCTTCAAGATCAAATACAACAATGACAATTCGGTAAGCAGGTATAAGGCGCGACTAGTAGCGAAAGGCTGCTCTCAACGGTTCGGACTGGACTACCAAGAAACGTATGCTCCAGTGGTTCGAATGAGTACCGTACGCACGTTACTGTCAGTGGCCGTACAGCAGAAATTGCACCTGCATCAAATGGACGTTCGGACTGCCTTTCTGAACGGAACATTGTCAGAGACGGTCTACATGCGGCAACCACCAGGATTTGAGAAAGGGAAGAAGGTGTGCAAGCTCAAAAAATCCCTATATGGTTTGAAGCAGGCTCCTAGAAGCTGGAACGAGCGGTTCCACAACTTTATGGTGAAGCTGGGTTTTCAACGATCGCAGTATGACAGCTGTCTCTACACAAGAACGGAAGGAAAGGTTCAGATCTACGTTGTCCTGTATGTGGACGACATCATTCTGGCGTGCAATTCGTTGAAGAAGTTGGAATCGACCAAGAAGCTGCTGTCTGCAGAGTTCGACATGATCGACGAGTTGAAGAATTTCTTGGGATTGCGAATCGAATACGACATGAAGCAAAGTACGTTGTCTATCAATCAAACTAAATATTTGCTTGATCTTTTGAAGCGATTCGGCATGGAAACGTGTAAACCGGTTTCCACACCATTGGAACCAAACACCAAGTTGGAAAAGCTACACGATGACCGGGAACAATTCAAGTGTCCCTATCGAGAGCTGATGGGATGTCTGACATACCTCATGCTGTCTTCCCGTCCGGATATTTGTGCCGCTGTTAACGTCCTCAGTCGGTTCCAGAGTGCGCCATCAGAGGAACATTGGAAGGCTCTCAAAAGAGTCCTACGCTACCTTCAAGGGACGAAGGAGTATTCCCTTGTCTATCATCGTGACGAGGAGTACGTTCCACTGCTCGGGTTTGCGGACGCAGATTGGGGCGGCGATGTGAACGATAGAAGATCCACGTCAGGATTCTGCTTCAAAGTTTTCGGCAACACGGTGACATGGGTAACACGCAAGCAAGCAACCATTTCGTTGTCCTCAACCGAGGCGGAATACGTTTCTCTGAGCCAGGCTGCATGCGAGGCAATTTGGCTACGAAATCTCGTTACGGAGTTTGGTTTTGTGCTGGATGCACCTCTTGTCATCTTCGAGGACAACCAGTCCTGCATCCAAATTGCGAAGGAGTCAAGGGACCAAAAACGGCTCAAACATCTTGACATTCGGTACAACTTTGTTCGAGAGCGAATCGAGCAACGAGAGATCGAGGTGAAATATGTACCGACTCAGGACCAATTTGCTGATATCTTCACCAAGGGCCTTCCAACGGAGAGCTTCAAGAAGCATCGTAACACGCTTGGTTTGAGAGGGGGTGATGTGAAGCAAACCGAAACATGAAGCTGAAATTAAAAGTAGTAGGCTTTGTGATTAATCAATTAGCTATATAAGTTCCTGTGAGATTATACTCTTTCTTTTGCCAATAAACCACTGCCTCGACAACACCTTTCAATATTTTCAACATTCATTCGAAGAGCTTTACACTTAAGTTTTAAGTGTTTTGGTCTGGGGGTGACCCCGGCGTAATGGTTAACATCCATACCTCTCACGCCAAAATCACGAATTCAAATCTCACCCCCGGACAAGTCACGAATAATCCAAGAGTGTTAAACTATAATAAAAAAAAAGTGTTTTGGTCCATGAAAAGTTGAAAAATCTTACCATATCAATGTAAGTGTATTGCACGTTGAATCCATTTGCACAATTTATTAAATCCCGCTACTGTTCAAAACATAAGGATTTTAAGGCCGTTCGCAATGCTGTTGTATTTTATATGGACTGTTTCAATTTGAAACTAGAACAGAAACGCACCTCTCGCAATGCTGAGTTGCAGTTTCATTATTCGAGCACTATTTTGCACCAGATTTGCAACTGCTCGACTTCTGTTTTATTCTGTTTTATTTCTGAGCGAGTTTGAAACACGAATGGAACTCTGTTTCAAATTTCTTTGGATGTGTTGAAGATGTTTCGAATAGCTCCACAAAAAAAAAACGGAGAACTTCATAGAGAACAGTAAAGTTTATGGAACTTGATGATTACAAACATGTTTTAGAACTGTGCGTTGCGCTGATCGTGTTGCAGTTTTATTTTTGACAGTTTCAAATTATAGAATTGACGAGTAGTTTAAAACAATTTTGAAACTCAGCATTGCGAACGGCCTAAGTGTTTTGCATTTCAGCACGATATGATTTGCTTGTTCTGCAAATGTAAACAACAGAACTTTGTTTGCCACCTGTCAAATGCATAAGCTTGATTCGAGTTATTAAAATTCGTTCCGTATTATCCTAGGTTTTATCATTCAATTTGCTGCTGAAGAAACAACTGTGATGTTCACGATATTGTCCAGGTAATTTATACTAGAAATTTCTGATAGATTTTCTTAATACATCCTTGATTTTAGCAGCAGATAAGGTACTATGAAACCGAGTTTGGATTAATTTTACTGCAAACAAAATCGGGATGGTGATTTGTTCAAAATATGCCGCCCATAACATCAAGCTTTAAACAACTTTTTCTTTTCAGAACTGATGTAATCTAGGATTGGCATGGAGATGATCTTTGGTGAAGGAGAAAGCGGCAGCTCAATTGTTGTCTCGATTTTCGTAATGTGTACGATCATTGTATATTTAACCGACGACTTCACGGTCGTTGTCGAACGGAATTTGGAAGAACGATCATCCGTATGGCGATTCCAGTCGCAGTCACTGCGGCTGGAGGAATATATGTACCTTTCGCGTGATTTCTCGACCGGAACGGAGAACGGGAGTAAGAACGAGGCATGTCTGGACCAAACAAAATCAGTTTCAATAATGTTCAGTATTATTATCTATTGTAATTGTAACATTTTAAATAAACTTTTTGAAAAAAAATAATTGATTAATAGTATGCAGGACACGCAATTCATGTATGATTGACAATATGATTTTGAGAGTAGAATATTCGACAATTATGTGATTGATTGTTGCCACTGACATTTGAAGTCCATGAAATCCAAATGTGTAACAAATGGCTTTACTGAATATATTGTATCATCTGATTCACACATGAAATAGATGTGTTTAACAATTTGCGCGAAATTAAGTGTGAAACACATGATAGTGACGTGCTCATTTTTTTGAGTGCATGCGCCAGCCGAGAGTATTGGATGTTTCTGGCTTTTTGAGTGAAAATCGGATCATTGCTGTATAAGATTCATACTAATCGGAGTAGGTCAAGTCTGAAATCCATTTTCTTTTTGCTATTTGGCCTGGAACTGCTCTGTAGCATTCTGGTGAATGAGAGGATGAATTCTCTCACTAAGAATGAAAAAAAGGTGTCATTTTTATTCAACAGCACACATTAATCACAAAATTTCACACACCACGAGAGAGATAAACCACAAGCAATACTTCACCGATACCTCAAAAACTCTCTTCAGCCGTAGTATGGCTTCTTATTCTGGTAGTAACTATTCTTCACGTAGACCGGAGCTGGCTGCTCATAATAAATTGGATCCTTGACGTAGACAGGGTAAGACTTCTCCACGTGCACCGGGTAAGGTTTGGCCACTTGGACGTACTCCTTGTGCACTACTGGGACGTTAACCTTAACGGGGTAGGACACCAGACGTTCAACGGGAACATGGACCTGCTTCTCGATGTAGACCGGGACTTTCTTCTCCACCACGATTGGGATGTGCTTCTCTACTTCTACCGGGTACAGAACGGGAACGTTATTGGTAACCGTCACATGCTTGGTAACGTGAGACGCATGAATGGGTTCCACGAGCAGAGGCTCTTCGAAGCCAAAGTTGTGTCCAATCTCCACGAGTCCACGTTTGTCTTTCTTGCTGTCGGCGTTTTTCGATTCTTCGGCTGGTGCTCCCAGGGCGAGGGAAATCGTCACCGATAGAACGATGAAGAGCTGTTGGAAGACAATAACAGTATCAGACAGGAGCACCCGACTCGGTGAATGGGGAATGAGTTTAAATTACCTTCATGGTGCTGTTTTAGACTGGTTAACGGTTGAGAGATTGCGAACGACTGATACCTGACCGATGGTCAGTGGTCACGTTTTATAGTTCAAAGTGCAGCTCATCAACGATTCAGAAGCGCGGGTTTTTTTTTTTCGGGCAGCGGAAGCGAAGGTGTTTAGATTTTCATTATTGGGCTAGTCGTGGATTGGCGACTGTTGGGTTTGCTGCGACACTAGATACCATAGAGGTAAGGTGCTGAATGGGAAATAAAAGTTTTGTTCGACCGTTCGTCCAAGACACTAATAAAGGCTATAATAAAATTCATCAACCGATGACGATTTATACGGTAGTCAAGGATGTTAGAAATTAACTCCATGCTGTCTGAAATCTGTGTTCTAATCACATTCAATAAAATACGTTTTCTACAGAATAACATTCCACACATTCTTGAAAACGTTTTACGTTCTTCAATCGACTACACACTTAAAATCAAAATCTGTCCTAGGTGAAATATATTGCCGTAACAGAGTTCAGTAAATCTTTAGCTTCATTAGTCTTTTTTTTTAATTTCAAGGGAAGGTTTAGGAGAAACCGTAGAAATTCAGAAAGTTTAATATACATTCGGGAATTGGGAATTTCGTTGAAGTTAAGAGAATTTTGTTTAATTTTATGAAACTTCATAAACATTATTTTAGCTTTAGGGCACTTCGTTAAAGTTTAATGGACTAAAATTTGGAAATTTCGTAAAAATTCAGATGTTCTCGGAATCTCGTAGAATCTCAGTGTGTATTGTAGAGGTTCAGTTTCCTGAAGTTTGGTAAAGAGAATCGATGTTCTACGTTCTTGGTCGAATTGAGAGAACTTGGAAACAAGTAATAAGGAGCTGTCCATATACCACGTGGACAGTTTACGGGGAAGAGGAGTAGTAGCAAATGCCACCTTCGCCAGCTGCTGAGTACGGTGCTGTTTTATTGTTGTTTTACATCAACATGCTAGATGAAGCCCCAATGATTATTATTATTATCTCTATTTAGGAGATTTTCAGCCGCAGGCTGGTTTAGCCCCAATGATGTTAACCTTATCAACCATAGTAAAAAAAATACATTCAAGCATGGTCATCAGTTACTCCTGCCGGCGAAAAACAGAAGAAAGCTTTCGACGAAGCGCATCACGGGAGAGATGAAAGTCGAAAACAGATGCACCTCGGTTGAATATTCTCTGCAGTCCGCAAAATGCACCGTATGCTCCATAATGTTTGCGACGTATAGAGGCAGTCTTAGCATAAGGTTATTACGAAGCGGTCGGGGTTGAACATTCAGGTCAATTTGCCTCAGGATAGCCTCGCAATCTATCCTTCCTGGCAGGATATCGGCCAAGGTTGGGGCTCTGCTTGTGTCCCCTTCTAGTCCGGAGAAGTTCTAGGTCGATAAGTTGACAACGGCTTTCGTAACTGGATAATCGAAACGGATCATGCCAAGGCAATCAACGCAATGCAAAACGAAGAAAGCGACGTTGAACTGATTCAATTCTCTCGGCACCGTAGTTGTAGTTTGGGTTCCAAACCGCTGAACAATACTCAAGCGTCGATCGAACAAGCGAACAATAGAATTGAATGAAAGCTGCGAATCCAAGATCACACCCAAGTCTTCCACCTGATTCACGCGTTAGATTTTCGAGCCATGCAGGTCATAGCTATATATTATCGGTTGTTGTTTTCGTGAGAACGAAATAGCGGAGCATTTGGCTGGGTTCACTACCATTCTGTTTAAACTTCACCATCTAGCGAATACATTCAGCTGACGTAGAAGAAAGTGACAGTCAGCAGTGGAGCAGATTCGTACACGGTAAGAAAAAAGTACCCAAAATTTAGTTCCTTTCACTCATAACGTGGCTTCCGTGGGGCTAGGTAAAATTAAGTTAAAGAAGAAAACTCAATTTTGAGTAATCATGATCATGAATCCACGTTGACCAAGTTGACAAAAAAATAATAAAACGGAGTAGACTGGAACCGAACCATGGACGTTGAGATTGCGGAGCCCGTGTGTTGACCACTCGTCTATCAACGCTTGTGAAAATGAAATGGTTAAAGGCGCATAAGAGCAACCTCAATGAAAATAAACTTATATTTGAGTTCATTTATTATTACTTAAGAGATGAACTAGCCTATGGCTAAAAATCTCTTTAATAAAGAAAAAAAAAAATAAAATTATTATTACTCAATAGTTGAGTAAATTTTAACCAACGCCGCTTTTCTGATTCACTCAACGGCGGACCTCAAATGATAGAACCCAACGTTGAGTTTTTTTTTTAACTTAATTTTGAGTATTTTTTCTTACCGTGTAGGAAGATTTTGAGGTCATCTGCATATGATAACCGAGGAGCTTCGATGATCAGATGCACGTCGTTGAAGTACAGTATTAAAATTAACGGTCCCATGTGACTTCCCTGACTTACTTGCTTAACGATCCTGCACACCTCCAGGCCTTTGTGAAAGATTTTCATCCTGGGCGATTACTAGCTTTGGCCTTGACCTGTGCTCAAGTCAAATTTCGGTGAACGTTCTTAATTTCACTGTTTAGGCTCCGCCGCCACGAGCTGCTCTGCTGCGACCTCGGCTGCGATGTCCTGCTGGATTCCAGTCCAGTGATTGCTTGCAGATTTCGTTTCCGCTCCGTCGTAGCAACAATCAGTACGAAACTAACGATTTAAAATTGGCTCACTACTTGACTAGCCTATTGGTCCCAAGCAAATCGATTAACGTACCCCATTTTAGTATAAATTCCAGTACTACACTATGTTTGTTTTGATTCGCTATGAAAGTTTGACAGATAAAATGAGGGGTTAGTGGATTTTCCTGTGTTTCGAGGGGTGAATCGATTAGCTTGGGACCGAAGATAGTAGAAGAGCTGAGCCTAAAAGTGGAGCTCGTTTCTTCGGGACCTTCTGGTCTTAGAGTTACCTCTAGGGTCGTAGGTTGTGGTCGACCGACCTCCACTTCCGTTCACGAATTTCTGTCTCTATCGGCTTCTGATGGCACAAACGATGAAGCTCGGAATTGGAGATCCAATTATGGGGCCACCAGACACGAATTATGTACCGCAGGCATCGGTTGATAAACATCTGCAGCTTCTGAGTGTTCTCCGCTGATACACACCATGTTTCACTGGCGTATAACAGTACAGACTTCACGTTCGAGTTAAAAATTCGGATTTTGGTGCGTCGACTGATCTGATTCGCTCTCCATACATTTCACAAACTGGCAAAAGCAGCCCTCGCCTTCTTAATCCGTGCACCTATGTCGCTCTTGGTGCCGCCGTCCGACGCTATCTGGCTGCCAAGATATTGGAAGCTTTCGACTTTCTCCACTGCCTGCCCAGCTACCGTGAAATTGGAACGGTTTTCCGTGTTGACATCCAACGATTTGGTCATGTTGACGTTGATGGTTAGACCTGCTTCAGAGGAGCGTTCCACAAGGTCGTCGAGCTTACTCTGCATGTCAGAGCGCCGTTGTGCTAATAACGCAACATCATCAGCCAAATCGAGGTCGTTAGTAATAGGCTGCCACAGCAACCCACGGTTCGGTACACGGTCAACGGGTCCAACCATGATCTCGTCGATTACGATGAGGAACAGTAGCGGTGATAATATACATCCTTGCCTCACATCCGCGATTACCCAAATCGGGTCAGACAAAGCTCCATGAGAAAGCCTCGTACTGCGCTTCGATGAGGTTGACGATCTTATCAGGGACTCTCTTGCGTCTCAGAGCGCCCCACAAGTTTTCGTGTTTTAGTCGGTCGAAAGCTTTTTCGTAGTAAATGAACACCAAGTACAGGGACTCTTGGAACTCATTGACCTACTCCAAGATGATGCGGTTCGTGACAATATGGTCCATACAGGATCTTCCAGCACGGAATCCTGCCTGCTGTCGTCGGAGAGTCGCGCCGATCTTCTCCTGTATCCGATTGAGGATAACTTTACACAGAACTTTGAGAACAATACACAGTAACATAATGCCTCGCCAGTTGTCGCATACAGTTGGATCCCTCTTCTTGGGGACTTTTATCAAGACGCCCTGCATCCAGTCGGCCGGAAAAGTCGCGGTGTCCCAGATATTGACGAATAGTTAATGCAACATTTGTGACGATAGCATGGGATCAGCTTTGAGCATCTCTGCTGATATCGAGGAGGGCGACACATCTAAATCTCAATTCTAGATGCTCATAAAATCTCACAGTAGCAAATCAATCTTCGAAAAATCTTCTTTCGTTTCTCGCATCTAATTGCATCGCGCATCATCTTTTTGCAGGACATTTTCTGAATTGTCATATATCTTATTTCTATCTACTCAGCGTGCGTGCAGTTAGCCACAGGAAAACACAACCTTTCCTGTGTCGTAGATAGAGTCGTCCCCCTCGGCTGATATGCGATCGACCCCCGGGGCTTTGTTGAACTTCATACTTCGGATGGCTGCTTCTATCTCCTGCAATGATGGAGCTTCAGTGTTGACGCGAGTAACGCGCCTCATCCTTGGCGGATCATGCCGAGATGTTGATGGTTGGTTGACCGTTGAAACTTCGAGAAGTTGCTCAAAGTGCTCAAACCAACGTTTCAACTGGTCAGTGGGGTCGGTGAGCAACTGTACAGTCGCGTCTTTCACAGGCATCCTTGGGTTCATCCTTGCCCCGCTCAGGCGTTGTGAAACATCATAGAGGAGGCGGATATCGTCAGTTGTTGCGGCTTTCTCCCCTTAATCAGCCAGGGAGTCCACTCACGCTCGCTTGTTCCGTATACAGGAACACTTAACTTCCCTCTCTAGAGCCGAATACTGCTGACGGGCTTGGCTCCTCGGGTCCTTGCTCGCTCTATCACGGCTAAAAAAAAAGATGATGGTCCCACCTCTTACCCCTACAAAGGTTTGAGCTGGACGATTTATCTTTAAGATAATTGAATATGACATTTTAACAAGGTTGGTAAACAAAATCGAACTGGTTTCAGTTACAGATATAAATTCCCTCTAGAGT